CACCTAATGACTAACCCCAGTGACCTTTCCATCCTCCTCAGAGGGACTCGTGGGAGCAGATGGTGCCCGAAGGCCTCAGCCAACCAGACCCCGTGCCGGCCGATGCCCTGCAGAGCTTGGCGTCCAGCACAGGCTGCCTCTCCCAGCTAGAGTCGGGGAGCACTGCCCAGCACAGGAGCTCCGGTTGGGCGGCCCCCCTAGCGGGGGTTCAGTCCTACTCTCTGCACACACTGGAGGATCTGTACCACATGCAGGGGTACCCAACCCCATCCCCCTACCCCTTCACCTCTTTCATGACAATGTCCAATGACCCACCACCCAAGGTGGGGCCCTTCTCCCCGGACGAGGGGGCAGACACCTCTGTCCTCCAGGACCCTTCTCCGTGGACCAAAGAAGATGGGAGCCTGGCATGGGGGGCATATGAGTGCCGCCGAATTTACTGAGGATGCCAGAGGACTTCTGTGCTTTTCTTTAAGTCAGTGTCTGTATTCACAGACTGTTGTGGTGTGGCGGCTCTTTCAGAACTGGATTTTCAGGATAAGCCATCGTGCCACCCTTTGTTAATGGATGATGATGGCATTTATTTGTGATCCTCCCACTATAACCCCACTGAAACACACCACAATGTGAATTCAGTGTGTCAGGGACCAGATTCTAGTTAGACAGCCTGACAGTGGGGTCTCTGGGGGAATTTAGTAACCCATTATGTTCTGAATCTTTTGTTATCTTTGAAGTATCATTTTTAGCACTGATAGTTTTTTTTCTTAAATTACATTAAAAACTTCATGCAGATCATAAAACATACTGATTTCCCTGTCCAGTTTTTCTTAATTATGAACTATGTGTGTTCTTCAATAAAAGAGAATGCATAGGATATAATATAGATTAGGGTGCATAAAACAAAACTCATTTTATATCATGTGACTTTATAAAGTGTGAAGCATTATACGCATTTATCCCCTTACGGTGACTTGCAAATAACAATAACTTGCAAGTAACAAATGTGACACCACATATAAATGCTTTATTGTCATTAAAATGAGGTCAGGACACTATGGCTTCATAAATAACATGGTTTTGACTCTGCACTAAAGCCCAGGATGTCCAAAAATCAGGCTAATCCAAAAAACAACAAAGACCAAAGACTTTCTTTGATCAATGGTAGCCTTAATTAAGCTAGACATTGTCTCTCTGATGGAATAAACCGACAGTTATCAGAATGCATTAGCAAAATGGACATTCTATGATCAAATAAGAATGCATGCATTGTAAGGAAAACACAGAGAGCAGTCCTGGGCTGTCGGCAAGAAACAAGACTACAGAACACCAAGAAGCAAAGGGTCTTTGGAGAAGGACATGTTGTCAGGTCCTTTGACAACATGACCTTTGAAGAAAGACCTTGTTGATGGCTCACTGGTCAGAAATATATAGCTCTTACTATGTATAAATGAAGAAACTGACATTTGAAGCATCAATCTGTCTCATGTAAGTCTGACTGGTATGGACTCTTTGGCAATTAAATTCCCATAGTAATCCCCACCAAGCAGTGTGCCTGTCTGCAGGCCAAGCCCATCATAAACACCTTGCACACACTTTAACTTTGCAAAGTGTGAGTCAAGGCTCACAGGTCACACCCACAATCTTCCTCTTGTCTTCCTACCACCTTCCTTTCTTTATTCCCTTCACCACATTTTTCTGACCCATCGGGTCTCTCCTGATGCAGTGCTTTTTCCCTCCATCTCCTGGGGGTCCAAAGCCCCTCAATACAGTCTCCCTCGCATCCTCTGTGACAGGGTTCCATGCTCTAGGTTGGAGTCTAGAAAGTCAAATACGGATATTAATTCACATTTAGAAGTGAATAATTGATATTCCTCCTTGTCTAGGCCTTCAAGGTATATATTCTGGTTGAGCAAACACACACATAATTTGTGGAGTTCTCAAAGAAATACTTGAATAGGAGCCTTCTTTTACCTCACAACCTTCATCCCCCTCCTGGGACAGCATCCCTGGAGAAACAAACAAAGGAGCATTTGGGGTCCTTAGCTGTTGGGCTGCACTGTCCCAGGTCCCCTGCCTACTCCTTCCCTCCCACCACTCCTTTTCACAACCAGATCTTTACTTTGTTCAATATTTGCTCTTCAATGGAAGGGGACAGCTTCTACCATGGGAGAGAGCTGCCCTTCTCAAGTCTGCTGAGACTGGAGACCTTAGTCCTGGTTGCCAGCATCTTCGGTAGAGCCATCTGTCATCCAGCCTCACTCATACCTGGACGGCAGGCCCCACATCAGAAGGAAGAGATCTGGCCCTCCCTGTAGACGCAGGGTCTTCACAAGGAAGGATCTCAAAGTCACTTTTCTAGATTGGTTGTATAAATTTTATAATAATTACAGTCATCTACTGCTTACCATTTGTTACTAAGTAGCACATAACACAATAATCATAAGTTTATGTGTAAGTCATAAATATGTGTTCCTATAATTTTGGTTTAATTATAACACTAAATGTTAGGCATGCTTATTTCTCTTAGTTTGCTGTTGTCTATTCACCTATTATGTTCATCTTCTCACAACCTGAGGATTCACTGGCTCTCGGATAAGTAGAGCTCAGTGGCCAGTGGTGTCTACATTCTTCTTAGAGCATCCAAGCCCTTTCATAGTGTTTGGCAAATTTAATTTATAAAAAAGGAGACACACACAGGCCCATACTCTGTCTAGTATCCGTTTCAGTTCTCTAGTCTAAAGGATCAAGTGGAGTGGGGAATGGTGCTAATAATTTCCAAATGGTAAATGACTTTTAAGAATTCTATTTAGCTTGACAGTGTTGCTATATTGCATATATTTTAATTTGGTTCTCTTTTATTGTTCTGGGAATTTACAATACTTTGTAAAAAGTGAAACCAAGATATAAACTTATGCTAGGAAAATGAATTATATTTCCCTGTCTCATTTCCCATTCAAGTACTCTCTATTTCCTACCACATGCCAGGGACTAACTGCACCTTTATGTAATAATGCAGAATGCCAACATAAAGATTATACATGTTCTCCTCTCCCTCTCCTTCTCAAACCTGCTCTTCCCAGACTCACAGCTTTCCTGGGGAAGCCAGAGAAAATTTAAGTGTTCAGGTTCAAAACACCATTTCTTTTAGGTCCCTTAAGATTTAAAGTAAGCAGAGATGGTGATGTCAAATTCAAGCTAAGAAATCTCCCTAGAGGATAATGTCCAAAAAAAGTGGAGAGCAAAATTTTCCCCTGTAAAAGCTAAAATATAGGCAATCCCCCCATACATCGCTAAAAACAGATACTATAGTATGTAGTTGAAACTGTTTGTACTTCTCTTACAATGTTATACAAACCCCAAAGAAAGAGAGAAGAAAACCACAGCTTTACCTCATTTACTTAATAACTGCTTTTAAATCAGCGTTATGACTTGCTACAGCTCAGTTAATAATACAATATGATGGCAAGGGGAAGACTTCAGCACTAGAGTACTGTACAGAAAATTCCACAAAGGGAAAAGAATTACTAACCCCAATAGTAAAATATATATTTGCACACATACACATATATCTATATACATGTAAATGTAAACGTATATAAAGGAATTACTAGTACCTCTGTGATCCATTTTTAATATGTAAATCTAAATAATACATTCACAAGAAACAAAACATCAGGTATATTTAAAGAACTGAAACAACAATTGATGTCCAAGGTTTAAGTCACATTACGTTACAGTCATTCTACCAACCACACATCAAAATTATACTCTTTCTTTATGTTCGATCATTAGGTTCTGTCTAAGGTATCCTCACTGTTCAAAACAATATTACACTGTTCATCTTACACACCATATTTGATAACTACTGACTCTCGAGAGGTTAAGTGCAAAATCGTACACTCTGGCTAAAGAGGATTCTCTAACTAAACTCATCAAGGGAAGGACAGTTCTGTGTCCTCAGCACCTGGCTTAGTGTCCAGCAGGTTGTAGGTGCTCAGTAAATCTCTGTTAAGTTGAGGGAAAATTATACCACAAAGATGAGTAACAACTTAGACCTCAACACTATGGGTGACAATTCTGATGTATAAGAAAGTCCTCACCATGCTTAGGATTTAACTTAGTCATACTCTTTGCAAATCATGACAGTACTGGCTATTGAGTTGTAGTGGTAATATATTTAAGACGACTGATTTCATATTTTTAAATGTCTTTAAGAAGGAAAATTACTGAACCTTTGAAGTAGCATAAAAAAATGTTTATATATTCATTTAGTATCTATGTAGACTATAAATATTGCTAATAATTCTTATAAATAAAAGTTATTCAGTGTTTGGTATTATCTCTGGTGTGATAAAAACACATATGATAAATAGATCAGGAATTAGAATCCCTAAAGATCAGGTTAAATAAATAATAAGAAAATCTTCTATAATTATTTGTAAATGATGACACCATGTTATATTTGATCTTTGCTATAAAAGTGTCCTCTAATCATAATCTCTGATAAACGTGTGGGTTTGCAATATGTAATGTCATTGTCAGTATATTACAAGCCAAAAGGAAAAGAGAGTGAAAAAGAAAATTTACAAGTTCCAAAAGGAAGAAAATGTGGACAAAACAAGTAGTACCTAAGAATTAGCTTTTCAAATTGGGAAAATTGATAGCCATCCCTGCTAACCTTCTCTCTTAACCAAATATCTTGAGTGGATAATCTAAAAGTTTAAGGCTTAATAAATTAATTCAATCATAAATGAAATATCACTTATTTCTTAATGTTGATAATATATTCACAGGCTTTTATCACAGTAATCTTTATGTTTTTGTATGTCTCAAATGTTGCATAATGAAAATGTCTTGGGAGGGTGGGAGGGAGGGAGATGCAAGAGGGAAGAGACACGGGGACATATGTATATGTATAACTGATTCACTTTGTTATAAAGCAGAAACTAACACACCATTGTAAAGCAATTATACTCCAATAAAGATGTTAAAAAAAATGTCTTAAGTAAAAGATGAACTTTTCAAGCAGAATCTGATGGTATCTTCCTAATTTAAATGATAAACTATCAAATGCTCATTCCCCATGGAAGTCTCTTAATGTAAAAACTTTGGATATATCTTATGGGAAGAGACTGACTTACCACAAATCATTAAATAACCTTCATCTAATAGTCTTCCTGGTCATTTTCATATGGACCAAACATTCACATTGGACCCAGTAAGTATTTGTTTCCTCCATGTTTTTGGAACTTGATATTTCCCACAAGGTTTGGTAACAGTGTCCCAACAGTCAGAATGACAAAAGAACTTTGCATTCATGAAGAGAATTTAGAGCCACAGTCAAATTCGGAGGGAATAAACTCCCTCTTTTTCTTCTACTGAAAGTCTTTCATATTCATGTGTCATGTGTGTCTAATTTAATAATGTCTCCTAAATATAATGTTCTGCACTGTCATTTGCATACAAAAGCCTGCCAAAAAATTTCAGTTAAAATATTCGGTTTAAAACTTTTTAAAAAATGTATTCTATTCCCATTATTCTGGTGCTACAGGACTTTAAGAAGGCCAAGGACCAACTAAAGCGTTTCTGAGATCCGTGGCTCAGAGATTTGAAATACTATAACATATGAAGAACTAGAGAAATTACAGATGGTGAACCTTAAAAAGAGAAGGTTTGCAGTGGGGGTGGAAGGGGACATGATACCTTCTTCAGGCTTAGTCCTCGGCCTGGTCAGAGCAGATCATCAGTATATGCTTGTTGAATGAATGAATGAACAAATGAATGAGCCAAACAGACCTGTAATGAAGGAGCAGTGGTGTGGACATGGGAGAACAGGTATTCCATGTTACTCACCAAGCAGTTGATGACAGAAAGCATGACTATCAGTCTGTATTTCTGGTGCTTGGCACCAGGCCTGGTACATAGATGGTGCTCAGCTAATACACCGCATTGGATTTTGTCTCAGCCAATTATATTTAAAGCAGTCCAATAGTGGAACAGGCGGTCTGACACACGGTGAGCTCCCACTTCCTCTATGGGCTGGCAGCTCAGCCAAGTGGCGGAGGGAGCCTGGGCCGGACAACGACCGGCAGGGATGTTGGAAAAACACTCCAGGTCTGTCTCAGTCCTTCAAAGATCCCTTCCAACATCCAAACATCTGGATCCTATGTTATATTTTGAAGCAAGTGAGCCTGTTAAAACCCACAACATTTTTTTCAGTCTTTTATTAAAAACCCGAAAGAGATGATCAGGACCTCAGGGCAGACACCTTGAAGGTGACCATGACCCCAGCAAGAAAGAAGAGTTTCCGGTCTGAGACGCACAAACTGTCATAAGCCTAATTAGCAGATTCCCCTCCCCTCCAGTCAGCCTCTTCTCAGGGTTCCGGTGACCCCAGTGTTTACAGACCACTCTCCAGTCAGTATCTGCACTGCCCCAGCCTCCCCACACACCCCGACAGTAGAGCAGACAGGACACGCTGTCCACGAGCACAGCTCTGACAAGTGGGTTTGCATGTCTCACAGGCAATATTTTCCAATGTCAGTCACAACGCACTGGTGGGTCATTAAATTATATTAGCGACTCCGAATCAACATAGATGTTTTCATGAATAGAATGAGATGGAAAAGATGGAATAGAAATTTTCAGGATATCTCTTATGCATAGGTGTACATTGTGCCATGAAAAGTTTGTTTTGTAAATATATAAATATTGTTATAGATATAGTATGTGAACATGTAAAATGAATTTCCTAGTGTGGTTTGAAGTCCGAAAAGTTTGAAAGCCTCTGCTATAAAAGATCAGGAAGACAACAATGTTAATTAAGAGTAAGGGTTTAGCATCTGATTTATCAAAGTTTGACTCCCAATCCTGCGATGTGTGTGCTCAGTAATCTTGGTCATGCCGCTCATCCCTCTGAGCCTGTTTCCTCATCTGTGACATGGGGAGGCTATACCATACAGTACCTGACATGCAATAAACACTCAATAAAGGACAAACTCTAAAAAGTCTATGAGGAACATCCAACTCCATGGGGCCTCAGTGCTGAGCCGGTTGTTCCAGGCCTTGTGACACACACAGCCCCACAAGGAGGGTTCACAGGACCCAATTTAAGAAGAACCCTCCCTCACCCCCGCAGGTGTGGCGTGTGGCTCTTAAACACCTGTGCTGGGGTTCTGCAACCATAGAAACAGTGGCAACGAAACTCCTTATTGTTGAGCTAAAAACTGGGGGGCTTCTTTCTCAAATCAGGGCTCAGGCCTAAGGAAACCCAGTTTTCTGAAGTTGCTGGCTAGCAACAGCACTGGAACATCCATCTCAGCAGCAGGGGCCAACGCAGAATCCCCCAGAACTGCTGTCCTTCTTTGGGCAGAGGCTTCTGGAGGAAGGGACAAAGAGGTCTTTGCTGTCTCTACAGAGCCCGTGACTTCCAAGGAACTCACCTCTCACTCAGCCCTGCCTGCCTTCTCCAAAGGTCAGCCAATCATCAGCACCAATTTCGATGATGTTGCCAAGGGCGCTCAATGGCCTCCTGTCATCCCTGTCCACTTCCACATGAAAGGAGAGGTTAGGAAGGAGACTAAGCCTGAAAAAATGAGACAGCACCCCAGAACATGGGAAAACAGACACACACAGAGTGCCAGGGAGAAAAACAGCAATGTAGGTAAGAAATAGAAAGCAATGACAAGAAGAGAGACAAAAAGAAAGAAACAGAAAAAAATAAACACAAAGGCCATAGAGGAAGATTTTTTTAAAGCAAACCAAAAAATAAGTATAAAACAAAAAGGAGGACAAAAGAGAAAAGAAGTTATGGAAGAAGCTATGAGGACAAGAGACTGTCCCTAATTCTACGCTGCTTTGCTCACTGTTCCTTCAGAAGGGGGCCGTGCCCACACATAGCAGGACAGGGAGAAAGAAATAGGGGCTCTCTGAACTCCCAGTGTCCTTCGCCTCCTCATGAGTCTGGTCCTGAGTACATCAGGGAAACTCAGGACACAGGCTCAGTGCCTTTGGAGAAAGAGGCTCCAGAAGCTGACAGATTCCAGCTGGGCTGGGGACAAACACACACCACACCTACTGCCAGGTGCCATCTCAAGTGTTCCCAGCCCTAATTCCCTCCCCCAGAGACACAACTTCAGTTGCCAAGCAACTCTGATCCATCACAGACCCTGGTGTCTTGTCACTCTTAGAGCCCCTTTCTTCCATTTCTGTGTGCTCCTTCCTGCATCCAACACATTCCAGGGCATTCGGGTATTTTTCTGGTGGCCCGAGGGGCTCAACTCCACCTCTTGCATTTCAGAGAATTCAGAGAACAAAGAACAGAGGCCTATAACCATTGCCTGTCCTGGCAACATGGAAATGTCTTGGCTTATCTGGAAAGGTAGCCCCACCCTGCCCTCTCTTGGGGGCCAGGAGAGGATTTGGCCTGGCACCCACTCCCTCTCTGGACCACTCCTGTCTTCTCAGCTTCCAAATCACACAGAAGAGGTACAGCAAGTGGTTGGAGAACTTAACCCAGCACAATCCCTGGTCATTTGTGAGGGGCTTAGGCCTGGACCAATGAAGCAGTTGACTTCATATCCCTCCCACCTCTCACCCAAAGTGTGAAGGCCTGACACAAATCCATATCCTTTCAGCTAGAATGAGCAGAAGCCAAGCTTATCATTTCTCTCAACACACGCTCCTGCAGCAAAAAGGCAGGAATGGCTCTAGAGGGATAAAGAGGAGAAAAAAGGGAACTTCATAGTGAAAAAAACACCAGCCTCAGAAACTCTCCAGAAGGTGAAGCCCCACAGGCATCCCCAGCTCTGTGGGGAGGAGCAAAGGGTCTTAACAGGCAGGCATTCTGTACTGAAACCCCAGTGTCTGGGGCACAGACAAAGAGCGGAAGAAAGGGGAGGGAAGCCAGCACGTGGCCAGGCGGGGCCAGAAGGAGATGAGGCGCAGAGCTGAGGCCTCTGCAGGCCTCCAGCCTGCAATCTGGGCCCAGAGTGACTCCTTGCCAGGCCAGACCTACTGGCTGCCATGTTCACTCCCCAAAACCTGAGATTTTCTCTTAAAACAGAGACTGAAGAGATGGAAATCAGTCAGCCCGGCCAGCCTGGCTCAGGTGGTCATGAAGGGCACCCTAAGTCACTCAAGACTCCCAGAGCTGCCTTTGAGGCAGAAATACAGAGCATCTTTGAGGACTCCTGCTCTGTCTGTGGGAAGGTGGGCAAAATGCTCAAAATACAATAAAAGCAAGGGCCAGGCCCCAAAGGGGTCTCAGCCCCTGTTTCTGTGGACTCTCTGTGGGGTGCCTGCGTGCAGGATTTCTGCAGAAGATAGTCCATTTTGTTAAGCCTTTGAATATTCAAATTGAAAGTATCGCGCAATCATTGATTGTCAAATCATGGGTTTCTAGAGGTTTTAAATACTTGGCATGAGGGGGAAAAAACTCAAACCTATACCCGAAGGTATAAAACATTAATTCTGTTTGTCTCCTGCTCCAGGAACCTGGGTGCAGCTGGATGCTTTGTGAAACTTTAAAAATGTTGCATCTCTGCCTCTCCCCCTGCACAGGAGCCCTCCTAGGCGCTGAGTCCCTGCAGCTGCAGCATCCAGCCACCAACCCAGCTTCTGCTGACCACGATGTCGGGTAACTCGGCTTCTTGTCCTGGGGTAGGGTCACGAGGGTAAGGGGCGTTTTGATCCGGGTGTATTTCCACGGCTTTTCCTGCATGGAACAGAGAGGCACAAAGTCAGGGCATCCAAGTAGGAGCCCGGGATCCGGAGAGGGCACGGGCCACGCTGTGGCCGCTCCCACTCCACGCCTGGTCCCGAGGGCAGAGGCCCACAGGTCCAGTTGTCCGCTGTGGCGTCCGCGTACCCCGGTCCACCACCGGTCCTTTCACTTGGTCATAGTTGTGACCCTTGGACTTCCCGGCGCGGACTTTGTGCGCCCAGCAGCGGCGGCGGGAGCTAGAGGCTCACGGTGAGCCTGGGACTCAAGCCGGTTGAGCCGGCCCGCGCAGAGCTGAGCCGTGGCGGTCCCTGTGCGGACCCCGGGCAGCACCCGCTGTCCGCGGGGACGCGGACGCGGCGAGGAAGTCGCAGGGAGACACTGGACCGCGGACAGGGCGCGGCGCCCACGCCCTGCGGGCCAGACGCGGGATTCCTTGGGTCTGGGCGACGAACACCGCGACCTCCTTTCCTGGGGAGAACCCTAGCTCCCAGGACCCGGCCCGGGGGGCTCCCAGCTGTCCTGCTGCGGTCTCCGCAGTGACCAGGCGAGGCGCTGGCGGCCCGGCCCTGTCGCCGGGCGCCCCGGCTGATCGCGCGGCCCGCCCCTCCCCGCGCGGCTCTCCCGCGCTCACTCCAGGGTCGACGTCAGGGCCGGAGTCGCTCCTGGGATCCCGCGGCCACCCCCGCCCGCAAATGCCCGCCTGGCCCGACCTACTCACCGCGGCTCCGCGGGGCCCGCCCGGGGCCGCAGCTGCCCCCGCTCCCGGCGCGCAGGACGCCCTCCCCAACGACCCCTAGGGCGCGCTCGGCCTCTCCCGCGAGCCGGGCACCCAGGCCCGGCCCCGCCAGCCCCAGGGGCGGCCCCTTCCGGAGGGCGGCCTCCCGGCCGAGTGCGCGGTCCTCAGCCGCACCGCACGCCTTCCCCAGCTCGCGCTTCGCGGACTCGACTCGGAGTCTTCGGGCGCCGAGAAGAAATGCCTGCCCCAGACAGGGAGGGGGTGGGGAGAGACGGGAAGAGGAGCGAGCGGGAGCGGAGACTAAGGAGGGAGGAGGAAAAGATGGAGAGCAGGAAAGGCGAGAAAGGGGGTGAGGGAGAGAAGGCAGAAGAAAAAGACGAGAGGGAGGGAGTTCTCGGGCCTGGTCCCTTTATTGGGGTCAGTCTGGCGAGTCCCTCACCGACCCAAGGACAAGGCTGGCCAAACCCACCTGCCGGCTGCTTGCCCCAGGGCTGGCTTCCAGGCCAAGGGCACGTAGAGGTCAGAGGCTCCCCAGAAGCCACGTCTGCCCTGGCGGAGAAGGAAGGGACTCAGAACTTCCACTGGCGTGGGAGTGGGGTGGGCTATGTCAGCTGCGGCGACGCCCAGCCCCTCCTCAGGTTCTGGTCTGGGAGAGGTCTCCATCCTCTCCCAGACCAGAACCCTAGGTTCCCCTAACTTAGCCAAGGGGTGAGCTCCCCTAGACTGGTCTCCACATTCCTGAGCAGAAAAACCTGTGCTATTGGCCTAGGGATAGGGCTCAGCCTGGGGCAGGTAGCCCCACAGATTTCCATAGGTTCTGTTTCCACTGGGGCCCTGAAACCTGCCCACGGTATCTCTTCATCCTTTCGAGTTTGAGAAATTTGAGTTTCTTTCCCATCTGTCTTTTAGCGTTCTCTTTGCATTCTCCAGACCTAGAGATCTGGCCTCAGGTGCCATAGTTTATAAAGAATCCCCCCCACACCCCAGCCTGACACGCAAACCTCACACTTGACCACTGACTCGGTTGCCTTTCCCCAGAAAAACCTAAGGTGTATCAAGGTGTCCGGGTGAAGATCACAGTGAAGGAGCTGCTGCAGCAGAGAAGGGCACACCAGGCAGCCTCGGGGGGAACCGTAAGCATAAACCCTTCACTTCTTCCCAACTCGTGTTCAGCTTCATTCAGCCCTGTGTCTGGGAAGGTGTAGGAGGCCACCCTAGGCCCCAGTCACCATCCCCAGGCCTGGCCTTCCATAGCTGTTCTTATAACGTCTGTGCCCACCTTCATCCCAGTTCACCACAGAAAACAACAGAGAACAGCTGGGGCATGTTGTGGAGCTCAAGATTTGGGGAAGCCCATCCCTCACTGATCATAGTTGAGTATAAGAGCATGTTGGTCCAATACAGGGGAGAAGCAGCCAGTAGGTAAGTAGGTTGTTATTTTGTAGGAAGACAGTGTATGTGCCCTCACATACGCAAAGAAAATCTCTCCCAGAAACTTCCTTTTAGGGAGCCCTTCAAGGAGAGAATCTCCGTGGAGCATTCCCCGCCACCTCATTCTTCTGGAACCCAGCCTCTGAGGTCATTGATCTGTAAATCACCAGGCACTGAAATTTCCCAGCCGAAAGGGGCCGTGTAGCCTCAGAGGAGACAGCTTGAAATATAGAACCTCCTTAAGATGTAATGAAGCCTTGAGCAGTTCCAAGTTATCATGCGATTGATCTGGGCAGTCATAAGGGTACCCTGCCATTTTATGTACATCCTAAAGCAGAAAGTACTACCAAGAGTGCTCAGGGCAGCAGCAGAACCAAATAAACTAGGTGGGGTTATCCTCCAAGAGAGGGCAATTCATTGCTGAGAGCCCTTGATCACACAGTTGCCTTTGGGTTGGTTTGGGTGTGAATGTCGGATATGAAGGACAGAGCCCATATTGCCAGTGGTAAGACTGGTCCTGTCTCCAGCTTATTGGCATCTGTCGCACAACAGTTTTTGTGTCCAGTGCTGTTTGTGTGCAATGCCCGACTTCATGAAACTGGGCCTTTTCGGGAAGAGGCAGATGCCATAGGGGTGATCAACACAGGTTTTAGAACCAATGGACTGGGTTCAGACCTCAGCTCCTCCATGGCATGAAGCCTCGAGCAAGTTACTCAGTCTCAGTTTCCTCATCTTTAAACTGGAGATAATGGGATTTTGTGAGGATTAAATGAGTTATTGCACATAAGCACTTAGAAGAGTGGTTTCCACTTAGAAAGTGCTCAATACATGTTAACTATCATTATTATTATTTCCAAAAAGCAGCTAAAATAAATGTACAACCAGGGATTGAAAGCCAGCTATTCAGTAATGTTAATTCACACCCTTTGCTCAGAGTTTTAGAGTTCTGGTGTGAGCTTGCTGTGATATGGCATGTACAGCACAAATTTTACATTTTCTGGATGTAAAGTCAGTACCTCCATGTGTAGAATTTCAGCTAACACCATAAAACTTCCTTCCATTTGTACAGGGTTTTCCAGTGGTTCTTTTAAAGCACTTTTGCACACTCACTATTTCTTTTAATTCTTATGACAACCTGGGGAGGTAAGTAGATCGGGGATCTGTATGCCTCTATTACGTCTAAAGGTCAAAGCCTTACAGTCACTAATGGTAGAGCAAAAAGTGGGACTAAGATCTTCTTGTTCTTAATATTTAAAGAAACTTCCCACCCACTGGCTCTTAAAATTCATCTTTCTGCAGATCCAGCTGTGCTGAGCAGGAAGGAGTCTGATAGCCTCAACCATCAACCCCTTCAGTTCAGAGATTATTATAAAATTAATAAAACCAGGAACAAGGGAACTGCGAAATACTGCTGGTGCCAAAAAAAAATCATCAAGACGTTCCTAACAAAATGTAATCTTTTGTTAAGGAGCTTTGGTACCTGGTAGAATTCTGCTCCAGCTGCAACCTGCACTGCAATTGCCCACTTGCACATGGCAATTTTATTACTCTTGGCCTCTTACAGGTTGGTTTGGTCACTGTTCCCCTGTAAGCTAGCTGCTGGAAGGAAGGCAAGGCTAAAACATTGCACTTGTGTATCTGACCAGTATCTGTTCCCTGGAGCAGTCTGACTTATCTGAATTTTCTGAATTCCTCCCTGAGAAATAATCAAGCAGTACTTCTGAGCCAGTGCCTTTCAGGAACATGCAGAGCAAAGCCAGCCCTACTTTGCTTTCTGGAAGATTTTATCCACCCAGATCCTCACAGACATGGAGGAGTAACACAGAGTTGGTTTAGTTATGATAGCCAAATGTAAAATCTCTCACTGGGCACCATCAGAAGGATCTAGGATTCTAGAAAAGCTGTGAGGTATACTCAGTAGGCAGGGATGGCAGGTAACAGGGCATGGTGTATGCCTGCTTCTGGTTTAACAGAGATCATCTCCAATTTGTTTAGTGGTTTAAGGATACCTCTGGGAAGCGTTAAGCCAAGGAAAGAGTTAACTTTATCAAATATATAAAGCAGGAAGAAATTTATCGTAATTTGCTATAAAGTCAGAGTAGAATCCACAATTTGAAATTTTAAGAAGGCAATCCTGAATGGAAGTTATAGATTGAGACAAACATTAGGGTCTCAATGCCAGGAGAAACATGTGTATGCCAGATTTGTCAGTTTGATTAAAAAACTTACTTCGGCCAGATCGATTTACAAACAGCCCTACACACATACACGCATGCACACACAACTCTTTTACCTTTAGGATACAGAGAAACTGGAGTTAGTACTTACCAAAAGACAAAATTTACCCTTTTTTTACCATTAATTTTTTTAAACAACCTTGATGTATTTTTATAAATTGTAGATTGTGGATTTTTGTGCTGTTTGAAATCTAAGAGAGTGGAGACTTTGTATTCTTGCAGCAAAGTAGAAAGTGAACCCATGACTAGAAAGATAATATCAAGTAGGGTATTGTAAACATACCTGAGGGAGATAACCTGGGGAGACCTACAAACGGACCATTCCAGGGGAGGAATGGGGTTAACCAGAGCTCTACATTGAAGCCGAGTTTTTAAAACCCACTCCTTGCAAGTGCTTGAGCTTAAGCTGCAGCCAAATATTTGCATAAAGAACTGGTGAGGGATTCCAACTTCCTGGTTCATGATATTACAGCATGGATCGTTTTCAAAATTAACACCACCTCCTGTTTCAGCAGCGGCCGACTGTGCAGGCTCCCAGCGGCTCAGTGTACAGGAGTGAGTATACCCTGTAAACCAGGAGAGAGGCATGCTGAGCTCTGCTTCCCAGCACAGATTCTCAGAGCAAGGCTGGTCCCTTTAAACTTTAAAGCCACCACCTGAAATCTAAAAAAAAAAAAGAAGTCCTAAATAACTCAGTTAATACAATTATCAATTTAACTGGAAGACACAGGCTGCTTTACTTTGAATAGTTAAAAGGAACAGTCTCATAAACTTCAGGCATTTAGCTATCATAGTGAAAAAAAGCAACTTTTATAGAAAATAGTAAAAAACATACCGAGAGGTGAAATATTTCCCAGCCATTAACTAGAATGTAGATAGGCTCCAGTTCACTGACTACAACTTTAAGAAAATATTCTCTATTTTAATATCTCATAGCTAGGAAGAACATGTGACTATTTTTAGCTATCCAGGATTAAGCTGCCAGATAGTATATGAAGTTTTTGAGGAAAACGATTGACTAAGTTACGGACAGTTGGGATTAAATAAATGTTAACCCTTATTTAATTTAAATTAAATAGTTTAATAGAAAGGCTATTTACTGTGTTTTCTTCCACTGTTCATTTATGTCATATAAAAATCATTTAAATTAATTTTTATCAAAATTAACAACCTGTATAATTTAAGTGGGAGACATTAGAAAAAAATCCCCAAGCAAAAATGAAAGTTGAATCCGAAGAAGATATAACATTGGTTGTATTTCACAACAGTGAGTTTTTTTCAGAAGAAAGAATCTGGCTTACCTTAAGCAGAAGGCAACACAGCTCACGTCAAAATGTCTTAGATTTCCCTTTAAAGAACTTTTATTTCACTTTGCTTTGTGGTCATCTTCTTGCTTTGGCAGCTGTCCGGAGGCAACAGTGTCCACCTTTCAGACCCAGTCCCACCATCTTCTGCAGGTCAGTAAAGCCAGCCTTACAATTCCCTCAAAAACTCTTCCAAAAGTCCATCTCGAAAGGCTTTCAGTACTTGATTCAGGGGTTAGGATAGGCACCACCATTTAATTGGAATCCAACCAATCAGAAGGTGAAAAAAGGCATGGTGACTCCAAATACAAGCCCAGCAAGGAAACAAGTGCAACATTTTGTCCTCATTTCTGAACTGTCTATTCCCTGCTACCTACTCTGCTCCAAGAGCTTGTTCTTCACATTAGTTCCAGGTCCTCGTCTCCAAGTGACTAAACCTGATTAAAAGATCAGAACTGTTTTCAGAAACCTGTTATCTTTTTTAGTGTACTATTAGATGGAATACAGAACATCCCGAGGTCCTAGAATAATGCCTTTGCTCTTGTTTCGCTTAGTTTCTAGCCAACAGGGGCTTCCCTCCCCTTCTTTTCTCTCTTCCCAGAAAGCAGTTCAAACAAGTGTAAGTTTTCTCAGCCCATTACGAATAACTCTATTACATAAACACTCCTACCTATGCCACTCAACAGCTCAGAGTTTAAGGAGGTCATATATAAGGAAACCAGTGCTATGGGAGCTCCCCACTGAATGTGCCACTTAACCTTAAAGGAGCCTCGAGACTTCAAAAACTCCAGTGTTCTGTCGTTCCTCTGATGGACACACTCTAAACCTATCTTCTATGAGCATTTAAGGGTAATAATCAGAAATGGGGCCTATTAATACTGAAATGGAAAAGGGAGGGGTTTCAGAACTATTCTTGTTTGGTATTTAACATTAATTCCATGATCATGTGTAACATGTTCACTAAGGAAACATTTTGCTTTTTGTAATATAAAATGAGCAATACTAATCTGTAGACATTCCTGGTTTCTCTATTTATAATATGCATTGCCATTTGTAATACTCCTCAAAATTTAAGTTACTGAGTAAGTGTGAAAACTTTTGGAAAGCAATTAACCCTAGATCAAGAGAATTATTTCCCATGGCATCAGAAGTTTTCTTAAAGTCTCAAACAACACTACAAGTTACTTCTGAGAGATGAGGGTCACTTGGACTGCAGATAGGGGTAGGGTGTTGGTGCTTTATAGTCTAAGAGAGTGGACAGGGGAAGTTTGAGCTTGACTGTGACAGTTGGACAGAAATGGGATCACCATTGTTTTCTTTTGCCCAGGCCACATTTACAGCCAGTTTCCACATTATTAACCAGATTCATTTCAGTGGACTTGAATTCTCTAAGGCAACTAAAAAATCCAGATTGCCTGCCTGCTTACTTTTCTCGAACTTCTTAAGCCCCCTTTCCCCCTAGAGGTAGTAAATACTCAGAATAAAGAACAGAACTCGATGCAAATCTGTAAGTGCAATTTTTAAACAAAAATCTCTCCTTTTCCTTTTTCTTCTAGGACAGTATTTTGAGCCTGAACCAATTCCTTCCACACCCAATTATTTCCAACCCCGAGAATTTTCCAGTTGTGTTTCTTGTGAAGAAAATCCAGGCTTCCTCGACCAGATATTTGATTCCTACCTTCAGACAGAGACACACCCGGACCCTTCGCCCAGTTCCATGCAAAGTACTCCACACTATTTCCCAGACAGCTTCCAGCCTGCCCCTTTCTGCTTTAACCAGAGCCTGGTAATTTATCTCTGTTCTTTACAAAACCTATTATTGTTTACTATGGGGCAGAGAGTTTGTATCATCTCGTAAGAAATCATAAAGACACTATCAACAAGAAAATCATCCAGGAAACAAGCAAAGAACCATTTAAAACTCAATGGAGGTAGAAATAGCCACACACTGAAGGGCAAAATCCTTTGGATACACACGTAATTATGATTTCCCAAGTCGGCTACGCCCAAGTACTTTTGGTGTGTAGCCATAAAAAGAGGTTTCCCGGCAATACTCATTTAATGTTTTTAAACTGTAAAGTTCAGAAATCTACTCATTGGAAATTACTGATTTAAACAATGGCCCTTGGATTTTTGAGTTCTAGAAATTAGAATTAAGGCTGTTTCAACACAGTACAAACGGTCATCTGATAAGGGATTTTTTGTTTTATTCTGGCATTGAATTGGCTCTACTAACTGGTTGTTTTGGTCTGGTACAGGCACAAGAACTCATTTGGGTCTGAGACGGTTGGTAAAAAAATGAAGTCCTAATAGTTGAAAACGTTTGGATTGTCTGTTCTTCATGGACCTCAAATGTCTGAAAATGTGTTACCACTTAAAATGGAAATAAGGTGTCCATTGGTAGATACCAGTTGTTGAAGATGTCTTTTAGATACTCGTATAGTTGTTTTTAAACCTTAGAAAGTAGTTTTTTAATGTAAATACTTTTTTCTTTTGGTTTGTCAAAAGTCCGTGTAGGTATCTGACTAAATTTTAAGGGGATAAGAAATTAACTCCACAGGATATGCACACAGGGCCCCAGTCATTCACTTCTCTTCCAGCTTCCAAGTTAGGCTTTCTCAGTAACAATTGTGGACCTGCTTAAGAGGAAGAAGAAAGTACCTTTCTCTGCAGGGGTCAAGACTTTAGCGCCTGTAACAGTAGTTTCGAGTCTTGGAGTCTCCCAGACACTGGCTCATTGAGGATCTCGGTTCTACCTGTGTATGTTCACCTTGTTCTCCACAGTCAAGGGTGTGGAGAACATCCAGGGTGCCACCTGCAGCTTATATCGTGGCACACAGCAGGATTTGATGCGCAGTTGATGAAGCACAATGGGATTTTGTGGTTTAAGAACAAAGCACGCTCTAAAGTATGCTTATAACAAAGAAAGCCAGTGAAGCAAGGCAATTTATTGTTGGGAAAGAAATAGGTAAGTATAGAATGCGGTGTCATGAAATCACGCCAGCCAGCAAATAAAATTACTTCTGCAGACTTGGGTTGGATTGGGTGTTTTGTTGTGCTTTTCTTTTTTTTTTCCCCCTAATGTTCTTACTCTGAGTTACTAAATCTACTCTATTGAGTTCTTTTAATTCTGTCTAATTTATCAAGCTTTTTGTTCCTTGGTTTTCATCTCTCCAGACCCCAGGATGGCCTTCGGATTCCTCCACTCTCTCTGGTTCCTTAGACTGCAGTTACTCTCCTGCTCAGCTACCTTCATATACTCTGGAGAATTACAACTCTCCCCCTTCTCTGGACACCAGAAACTGTGGCTACCCCTCGGAAGACTACTCCTACCCTCACCTGCCCTCACACACCCAGTACAACTGCTTTTCCTCTGCCACCGCCTCTGTCTGCTGCTGTGCATCCTGCGAGGCAGAACACTTGGACACCTTCAGAGCTTCAGAGTGTTTTGCTTACCCCAGCACAGACTATGTGGACTTCACTCCCTCAGCAGCAGCAAGCAGTGATTTCTGTAGGAGGGAAACAAACTGGGACATCTGCTATAGTCAATAGAAATTACATTAGTTTGGAACATGGCATGCATGCGTCTATTTTTTTACCACCTCTAGATGACAACTCAAAATATGCAACCTGCTAACAAAATATCACAGGCGCAGTTTACATGTCACCATTTTCGATTTTCTGACACTAATTTAGGCATTAATATGAAATTCAGACCCATAGTGCCACTCCTACTTTGTACGCTTACAGTTAAAATTGTTGTAGGGAATATTCATTTTACTTTCTGTGTAACGAACAAATTATAATTTTTTAACTAATAAATAATTTTGTATTATTAAAAGTTGGCTTATTTTTTTTATTTTCCAATACTCATTCCCCAGTTGATTTGAGTAATATCAACTAATTCTGGAAATCACTAATTACTCTTCAGTATTTAATTTCACTTGTTCATGGATTGAAAATTATTTTAATATTGTGAGGTGCCTTGGCTCCCATGGAGACGGAGGGTAGACACAGCTATGACGGTTGAAGAGGGACAGTCAGCCTCACCACTAGATGAGAGTGTACATCTTGGGGCAACATCAGAGAAAGACATTTATGAATCATTAGTTTCTCATATCTATCAGTAGTCAGTGGAAGGTTAATATGACCAAAAAGCACATCTTACCTACAGCACTGTTAACCTGTAGATATTTCATTTCCAAAATCCTTGTTTGTAAACTTTCGGGGCAAATACTTGATCTTTCTCTTGAGAGCTACCATGCAGTTGATGTACCAAAAAGGTTAGAATTCTTTGTTACCTTCTATTTCTGAATTTTTGCTTTAGGTCTTTAAATATGCATCACTCGTGTTTACAGATTGATTTGTAGGATTGACCATGTTGTTTACAACTGAACTTCCTCTGATTGATCTATTTGAACAAGGCCAACTGTCTTTCAAGCTGAAGAGGAGTTACTTAAGCCAGCTGTGCTAGACTATACTGTTAAATCCTGTTTGCAGAGGGCGTTAAGGCACAGGACTTCATCCCTGCTGTGAGGTCTGGGGGACATTTTCCTCGTCTTGAGGTTCAGCACAATGGCAGCAATACTGGTACTATTGGTACTGGCCACAGCTACCATTTTCTGAGCCCTTCCTGTGTGCCAGAATTGTCTAAGAGTTTTCTCACACATTTAATTCTCTCATTTAACCTTTGCAACAACATTGATAGCAAAATGAGGAATCTGAGGCTCAGAGAAGTTGTCACCTGCCCAATGTCACCCAGCCAATAAGTGCCTGAACTTGGGTCTGAAAAACACCAAGTGGTGCTTCCTACTCTCCACTGGTGAAAAGTTTGTCGCCATTTGTGAAAGACTGTTCAGGAACCTGTGGAATCATCCTCCATTAAACCCCTGTACACACAAAGCTGTGTTCCCAGCTGACTACCAATAGTCAGAGCTCCCCAGACGGGTCGAGCTGTCCACAGGATACAAAGATGCCGAGCACAAGAGCTGCTAGAGTCCCCCACTCTGGCGACTGAGGGGAAGAAGGTGACAAACTGCTACCTCAGTGGGTTTCTTTTGATCAGGAGACAGATTTGCTTTCAAATTGACACCGTCAAATTGTCCCCTCACTGGGGACTCTGCTAAAGCTTGGGCAAACAAGACGAGTTACAACCTGCCTCATGGAATAGATATGCCAGGGGAACAGAACAATTACTGCCTTTAAAACTAAATTTTTAATAGTTTCGAACTAAACTGAAGCTGGCCTATTGTCAACAAACGTCTGTTCACACAGCCCAAAGCCCTTGCATGCCCTGCACCCCACCCCCAGCAGCTGTCCCAAAGGACAGAGAGCAGAGAACCCATAGATGTCCAGTGGTTGGCACCAAAATCTCTCTTTCCTGGGTGCCATTCTTTTTTTTTTTTTCCCCACTTCTATCCTCTGCCTTCTGAATAGGTGATCTTGCAGCTCTAACAAACAGAGAGCACTTCCTACCTCCCTGTTTCTTGTTCTTTCTTCACATGCCCCTGAGGTTTTCCCTAAATCTGGCATGGAAAAAGATTCATTTAAAAATGTGAGACAAGAGCTAATATCGCTACTGTGCATTACGATGAATATCTCCAACCTTAAAATGGTCTTTAAGACCTTTGCAGAAATTTGGGGCAACAGATCACCTGGCACATTACAAAGTCTATCACAGCCCACCCAGTCTCTTACCCACTGCAGCTCACACAACAGCTTGGGAGCCCCGCAGCAGCAGTGGGACAACCTAGAAGGCTTCTCATCAACAGATGCCTGGGAAGCTGGGTAAAATACAGGTGCCTACACCTCAGCGTGAGAAAGCATGATCAGTAAGCCGGTGGTGGGGCCCAGGCATCTGCATTTTTAAATGTACCTAAGTTGATTCTGAAAAACACTTGAAAAACACTGATGTATTCAATGTCTGGATTGTTCCCTTGTAGAACCTAGAGGCACAATAATAATAGCTTACATGGACTAAGCTCTTTCTATGGGCCAGTGACGTGAGCATTATCTCATTTAATCTTCAAACAAGCACACCCGATAGATACTATTATGGTTCTCATTTTTCTCAATGATAAAACTGCTGCTTCGAGAGATGAAATGACTTGCCCGAGGTCACACAACCTATAAATCGGGATCACAGTTCTCCAATTCAGGTTACCTGATGCCACAGTCAGAACTTCCAATAGTCTCAATATACTTTCCATGCATTAGACCTGGAAGCATAATCTATTTGGAACTTGATCTTTTGCCTTAAAAGTCATATATGTATCTGTACATGTATATCTGTAGCCAGTTCCTCATATACCTCAGAGGCATTTAATAAGATTACAAATGGAAATTTAAATGAATGAATCATTTTGTTATTCAGAACCATTAGAGAGATCAATAGAACAAAATATCAAGTGCTTACTGTGTGCAAGACGGATTACATGCCTTCAAAATCCAGTCAAATGTTTAAAAGAGGGTGTGATTTTAAAAATCTTAAACGGGGAGGATGGGCGTGGACTGATTTTCAAATTCTTGGGAAATTTACATTAGGGGTCAAGCCTTGAAGCCTGAGAGAGATAAGAAGAGACAAAGTTGAAAGCAGTAAACATTTGGAAACTATTACCTCAAGCAATGGGCCAGAGCGGTGACATTTGGCAGCTTGCCTAAGACTGCAGGTGGACATCAGAAAGCAAGGCACAGATAAGGATAACTGGAATGATGGGGCCAGGGCAGGAACGGGGAGGGAGGTGGGGCAGTGCTACTTTTTGATAGAAATTGTTTTTTAAAATCATTATTCATTCCAGAAAGATGAAGGCTACAATGAGTTCAAATCAAAGCCAATGAAAACTCTGACTATAATAGACTAAAATAAACACAGACTTACAATCGTTTCTAAATCCTCAAACCCTCTGTGATGCCTGCACAATGGTGGCAGGGCTGCTCAGGAAAATTAACCCTCACACTGCCTCCCTTCCTCTCACAGCTAAGGGGATGGGGATGCCCTGCCTAAGAAACAAGATTTGGTCCCGGGTGGGGGGTATCACAAAGCCCCGAGTGACTAGATTTTAGTGTGGCAACGGAGGGGGGATTCAGGACTAGGTGGCTCCGTGCTTTAAAAGGCAGGGAAAGTAGGCCCATTTCTTCTGCCCCAACAGGCCTCTGGGCAAGATGTAGGAGCTGGAAGATGAACAAATCTGAGTGGACACAGCTCTGCACGGTAATGAAGCTTCAAACTCATTGAGGGCAGGAATCTGCATCCATTTAGAAAACAGTTTCTCTTGCTTAATATAGATAAATAACATGCAGTTGGGTCTTGGAAAATGTGTGTGTGTGTGTGTGTGTGTGTGTGTGTGCGTGAGAGAGAGAGACAGACAGACAGACAGACAGAGAGAGAGACATTCATTCATTGCCACCTGGGTGATCAGCAGGAAAGAAGAGATATTCACTTTTAACCTGTCAGGACTAAATCTGTCAAAGCTCACACGGGGCTGTCCTATCGAGGCCCACTTCCCTCCCTCCGTGTAATTCATTGTTGGATAAGCCAGATTTTGAGAAGAGCTCTGCTGGGGGCTACTCAAGTCCTAGGATTGCTCTGATGACCAGAAGAGATCAATTTGTGGGTAGGTGACACTTTCCTAAAGGTGGGTAGGGTAACAATTTCACTGTGGTTGTGAAAAGAAGGGAGTGTTCTCTGAAAAGACAGTTTGTCAGAGGGCAGAGGATCTAGCATAAGAACAGGGGCACATCCTTAATTGGGCTCCCCGTGAGAGGTTTAAATTTGACGTGGTTTTCTTTCAGACGGTGAGCACAGTGCCATTCAGCATTATGTCTGAATCCTCCCCTTCCCACATTATAATTCTTACTGGTTACCCCCCACTGGCTCAGGAAAGTCTGGTTCCCCATAGGGCTTTGGGTGGAAGTCCAGAGAATAAAGTGAAGAGACTTTAAAGGGAAGCCTGCCCGATTCACCCCTATCTGCTGAGACCCGTGCGGAGTTGGCAGCATCTAATGCAGGGGCTTGTGGCCCAGGGTGAATAAGAAATGACCTGCAGCCAGTGAGTGGTGGCAAGAGTATCACAGGGAAAGGGCATCAATTAGTAGCAGCAATTCCAAGATCCAGCTAGAGGATGACAGTGCTTGGAAATGAAAGAGGCTAACAGACAAGGGGTAACTTTAGGACAAATAAAAGAACGCCTTTACACAGTGGGTAATAAACTTTAAAAAATTACCCCTACAAGTTGAACATTTAAAGAGTTTCAGGAAGGGGTTGAGATTAATTTGGCTGATAATATTTCAGGGCTGGAAAGGGACCCAGACATCATCTACTTCAGGAGTCCTCAACCCTGGCTGCGAATTACAATCACCAAGGAGGTTTTAAAAAAACATTGCCATCCAAGCCCCAGACTAATGAATCACAATCTCTGGGGTAGAATTTGGGGATTAGGATTTTTTTAACTCCATATTTTAAAATTACAGGAAGTTGCAAAATTAGTACTTAAAGTCCTATGTACCCTTCACAGAGCTGCCCTCACTGGTGCCTGACATCTTAAATAACTACAGTACAATAGCAAAATCAGGAAGGTGACATTGGTACAATGCTGTTAACTAGACTGCAGATCTTATGCAGTTTTCACCCTTTTCACATGCATGCATTTATGTGTCATAGATGTGTGTGTGTGTGTGTCTATGAAATAAGCATTCGTATGTTTTAAGAACTTCCCCAGAAGATCCTAATGCAGAGTCAGGGTTGAGAACCAGTGGTTTTGTCCAACCAACCCTCATTCCACAAGTGAGGAAACT